ATTAATTATTTTCATCGGCGACACACAGAAATGAGCAGAGCTTTTTGTAAAGTTACTTCTCACGCTAGCTTGGTCCTCTCCGCCTGGTGACCTGATCGGGACGGATTAGCACACCGCGACTCTTTAACTGAGCTGCATCAAAAAGGCTTTTTTATTATTTCCAAAAGTGGACGGATGGCGTTTAGAACACGTAAAAACATGAACCACGAGGCCTCGATCCATCGGCTCGTCTTCCTTTGAGCTCAGACGCACACAGGTACACACAAAGAAGGAAAATAACGGAGTCAGTGACTTGGTCTTCTTGTTTCTCTTCTCCTCACAGGCAGTAAACACTTCTTTTGTCAAGACAGAAAGACATGCTTTACACAATAACACACTGAGGGGGCGGGGAGAAATGTAGCTTCTGTAGTGTTGAGCTAGGTGGTGCTGTCAGTCTACCCACTCTCAGTGTGCGTGTGTGTGTGTGTGTGTGTGCACCTGTGTGTTTGTGCGCCTGCGTGTGTCACTCAGAGAGCAGGTAAAGTAACATCGGACTCAGAGCTTTGTGAATTTGAAGCTGCAGGACATGTTCTATTCTGAATAGTTTCATAATTAATCTTTTATATTTTTATAATCGTGCTTCATTAAGAACGTTCCTTCTTAATGGAGAAGCGACAGCGAGTTATTAGTGCGCCATCTCGCCTCCTCTCGGTCCTGGAATGTACCGCACTCAAAACCATTCGAGCCAGCAGCAACCAGCCCGTGATCATAAAAAAAACATGAAAGACTGCATGACTCTGCGTAGAACTACACACACATACACACGGCCCACATGTGATGGACAGGTGTGGCCACCTCCGCTTTGGTGATGGACTGCTCGTTGCTGAAGAAAATGCTGACTTCAGAAGGTGCCAAAGTAACAACATGCACTTGAACATCATAGATGTATTTATGGTAAGTGGACATGAGTGGAAATCAAAGCTCAGTGCTGCACAGAGAGCTGGAGAATATTTACAGATTGTTTTGTGTGTGTGTGTGTGTGTGTGTGTGTGTGTGTGTGTGTGTGTGTGTGTGTGTGTGTGTCCATTCGCTGTGTGCTCATGCATTTTGCTGATTGTAGCATTTTATCGATCCACTCCAAAGCAATCAATCGGGTCCTAATCGACCCGATTATAAAGGGTATGATGTGAAAAGGGATGCATGTGTGTGTGTGTGTGTGTGCGCGCGCGCGCGTATCGATGCCATGTTGGCCACTTAAATCCTGAACTGCGATTAATCCACCCATTCAAATATTGTGTGCTCTTTCAATTTTAATAAAAGGAAAGGAACCAACGCTGCATTTCTCCGTCTCCCCCCCCGCTCTCACTCACACATCCATTCACTCGCGTGTGCACACGCACACGCACACAAACGCACACTTTGAGATGCTGAGCAGTGCACATGCCACTGTGTATAATGGTGTATATCATTTGAATTTCCTTCTGCCCCCATAAAATCAATGGCACAATTATGGCTGTTGGCGAGCTGCTCATGTTTAACGTTTTTGAGCCGTAGTCAATTAATGTTGATTACCTGAACTCCAAAATACCACCGTAGGCATTTCTTTGGTCGGCGCATTGGCATCTACACGGATACCGATATTATGTCCTTTTCATCACTCACAAACTATGGCGGCGTGGACAGCCAGCTTGATTGACATCTCATCGACACAATCGAGTTTCATGAGTTTAGCTCCGCCCACCGGCAGCCTGATTAGATGTCCATTCAGCCTGACTAATTGAAAACAGCTGTGATGGAGGCTCGCTTTCTCTTTTGGTCGCATGTGTTTTAGTGCAGCAAAGCTTCATCTGATGTCATTCTACACAAAGTTCCCAATACACAGAAAATTGTCTATTGGGAACTTTATTGGGAAGTGTGAAATTTGATTACAAATACTACCATAACCTGTAATTACAGAGTTATTCCGATGGGGGAATCGTTCATGATCACTACACAAAATAAATTGTATGTGTTGTGTCACACAGTCTTTTTTTCGCAGCATGTCCCCTCATGGGTGTAATAAGGCTGTCACAATTTTCCTGAATTCACAGTAATTATGGATTTTAAATGTAGCCTCCAGTTCTGTTGTTACCCTGAAAACCTCCTCCACTAAAGACGCACAGCGGCCATTTCCTCTGGCTCTCTCACTCTTTAACAAGCTCCCGGCGACGCTCCTGGGGAAGAACGCGTCCCCGACGTGTCGGGCCGGACCTGTTTCATTTGGACTTGTTGACTCAAGCCTTTCGACCGAGCCAAGCTCTCAAGTCAGCTAGTCCCAACAAGCGCACACACGCCAGATGACCTTCCTACGGGTTGTCCGTGGGTTCCATTGTCGTGAGCTCTGGAAGGGAATAGAATGTGTGGGTCAAAGGTCAACGTCCCTGTGAATTAATAAAGCTCATTTTTGGCCAATGGATCAATTAGTCGCACGCTAGTTCTGACAACTTCACACAAATGTCCAAAAGGATAAGATGATGCAGTGCAACATTTTGAACAGGCGTAGGCCTCATCAGGTGACCGAGGCGCACTATTGGGCCATGAGTTGGAGTGCGGACATCTTAACCCCGAATATACCGCTTAAGTGTCCTTAAGCCAGGGGCTCTTATTACCCGTTTCTCTTTTGTCTTTGACTTCAACGGATAATGAGCCCAAATAAAGACGGAATGAAGCCTCGTTCCTCGCTCTGAGGCATTGCAGGCAGATGGAGGAAGGCACTTTTCACACCAGGTTGTCAGCGACGCGATCAAAGTGAAACATGTGTTTTGACAGCCGAGATGGTAAAAAAAAAAAAAGGAAATCTGAAGTTTAGCAGCATCTCCATCTGTGAGTGTTGATGGTATTGACGAGAAGGTTAAATGCCACATATGATATTAATACATATGGAATCCGGAATCGTCTCCTCGGCTTCCTGTGCAGCGCTCGTCCTGAGGGGGGAAAAGGGTTGTAGTGCAAGGGGGACAGAGACGGAGTAACTTCTCATTTTGCTGAAAGTGGACACATCATTGCAGTCCCACTTGACACGGTGACGCTCTCAGACAATCTCAAGCTTCAGGTTTGCTTTCTTGCTCTTACTCTCTGACATTCTTTCTTCTTCTTTTACAGCAGAGCACATCTGTCAGCCCCCCTCATTATCGTCATTATTACAATTCTGCCTCTGCTCCTGTCCGTCACTTTCTCCATGTCCATTTCTCTGCCTTTTTTTTGCCTTCTGCTCTGCCGTCTCCCCCCTCTCTCTCTCTCTCCCCCTCACACTCAGGGTACCTGGATGCAAGGTGTCATTTTGTTTGGCAGGTCTTTGAGTCTCCCGTCAAAGAGCACAGAGGCAAAGTCCTGATCTCTCGTCTGTCTCTCCTTTCTTTTCAACTCTGCTTTTTAAGAGACTCTGCAAGACTACGCTGGATTTGTCTGACCATTTTTCTTGCTGTCATTCTTTCAGATGTTGTTTTTTTTAAGAATCTCTGCCACCTGTCTGTGTGTAGTACCTTCTCCAGCAGACACATTTACTGAAACTCAGTAAGAGCTTAAGGTATTTTTTCTTGTTCAATTTGTGCATTTCTACACCCAAGTGGCTCTGCAGAAAGGTTATAGAGACTATAAGTGGTCAGCAAATTAAAAGTGCTGTGCTTGTGCACGTGTAATCGCTGAGGTAGAAGAGGAGGAGGAAGAAGCAAAGGAGATGGCAGGTGATGAGAGGGGAAGAGAAGGCGTGTGTTGGATGGATAAGGGGAGCGGGACGACTTGAATGTGTGAGACCCATTGGGCTGAACACTTGGTGAGACATGGATGAGGGTGAGGGAGGGGGATAAGAAAGGTGTGATATTGTATAACTTTATATTATTCTGCTCTCTCCTTCTGGTGAGGTCATGCTGGAAAGAAAGAGCCCGTAGCCGGTGTCCGATCTCACTCGGAAGTGCACACGCAGAAAGAACCCCTTATATGCCTGTTTTCTGAAGTGACAGAAACGCGGTACAAGCCGCGGCAGATCAAGGAGGAGAGAATAAGTGCCTCGGCTCTCGGTTCCACCTCAACGGGTGCTACAGGGCCCGCGGGTGCATTAAGTGACACGAGGATCTTGACTCGGAGCGAGAGAGGGATGGAGAGGCAGCAAGAGGCAGACGTTCTCTGGTTCTGCTGCTTCCCTAATTCATCAAAAGCCCAATGAAGGTAAAAATATGCTTTGATCATCAGGTCGGGCTCGGAAAAGAAAGATGCTGTCGCTGGACTTCTGCGTACTACACCTGCCTAGCAAGCTTTTAGTCTGAAAAGTTGGCATCGCTTTCCCTTTTAGAATTACATTTTCATAATGTGGCATTGTTGTTTTTTTTGCTTTCTTGTGCCAGCCAGAAAACGCCTGTGTGTGTGTGTGTACTAGTATGCACACTTTCACGTCGCTCATGTCTGTATGAGTGAGAAACCGTTTTCCACACTATCGGGTTCCGATGCAGCAGGAAGCCTCTGGCGTTACCAGCAAAGTCCCTTTTCTTTGCTTTTGGTCGCTACAGACACACACACACACACACACACACACAGGTCTATTCAGGTTTTTGACGTGGAGGCCCCTAGAACGCCGTGTTGACGAGCGGTGTGCCGCGTTAGGCTAAACGCAGACTCAGTGCAATACTCAATAGACCGGGATTCTACTACATAACGCAGTTTGAGCTAGCAGGGTGTCACACACACACACACACACACACACACAGACACACAGACATGTAAATGCAGAGCGGGGAGACGCGCATGGAGGCAGTTGTCACACAGAAGACACACACTCACTGTTGCAGGCATGCTGGGTTCCTTGGACGTGCTCTATAGCGTCCTCATCCACAAGGTAACACAGATTTAGTGTGTTCAAGGAAAAACACACAAGTTATTTTCAGTGCGCTCAATTTGTTTTAGTATTGGTTTCATATTGGATGAAACGAATAGAAGGATGACAACAAATAACCAGCTTGAGATTTTGTCTTTTCTTTTTCTTCTTTTAGCTGATGGCTGTGTATGAGGAGCAGGAAGCCCAGCAGAGGGGCGTGGCCAACACGAGGTCCGCCCCCAGCCCCGACCTGCACCAATCGGAGCTCTCTGTCTTCCAGCCGGCCGCAGAGGGAGAGATCGAAGTCAATTCCTCCGTCCTCAAGTCCAGTGAGTCGCTGTTGATTCATTTTCCTTTGTTTTGGTAGAGAGACTGAATCTTTTCATTTCGACACGTTTAAAGAGTTTGACCATTTAGAGCTGGATTTGAAGATTACAGTGGTTGACATTTAGCTCTTTTAGTACTTAATGTTCATTCGCAGAAGATTCGTATAATTAAGCAAGTAAAATTATGATGAAAATGTTCTTTATTCATCCCGGCCACAGTACTGTGCTCAAAGATTGAATGTTCTTGCTCTTTCTCCCGAACAATGGAGAGCAATTACCTTGACATTAGTTAGGCTTTTGTCATCACATCACACTTTTCTTGCTCATGTTATGAGCCCTCTGCCTCTGAGCGGCCAAATACTCAAAGTATTTCCAGTACTTCTCCTAAGGTTGAATTGGCTGGTACTCTGTCATGAAGAGAACATTGTAGCTACTCGTACAGCGTAAAAACGCTCTTCTTAATATTGTTCTTATTTCCTCCCACGCTGATATGAGGAATATCCGTGCCACAAATCCCTGCTCTGCTTCTGAGAAATGCGTTTCAAAGGTTCACTGACACGAGGTCCTAATGCTTTTTCAAAGAGCTCCTCTCACTTGACAAAGAACACAAAAGATCCTCCCTTCATGAGTGTAAACTTCTTCAGGTCGGTGCACAGACGGGTCGATCTCACCACTGATGTCGAACAGGAAGCATGAGACCGGCCGAGGAGGTAGACTGCGAGGCATCGTCGGTGACGGGTGGGGGTCAAGTCCCGCGGCGCCAGTTCGGAGGGATGGGTGGGGGGGGGGGCTGAAAATGAACAGTCTGTAAATGGAAACATAAAGGAAAGGAAGACACGTTAATGGGGTAATGGCTTAGTGGGCACTGTACATTTGTATTAGTACTCTGTGCCAGACGATGGCAATGACGTTAACTTTGAATTACAGTGCAGACAAAGGTCAGGACGTTACGGGCACGTTCTGCAGGACGGGTGATTACAGCGAGACGAGGACAGCTGACGTGCTGTCAGCGCCGTCTCGTGAGATGCAGACCACGGTGGGGATGAAAGCGACAAGACAGGAAGCGGATGTGTAATGTCAGGAGGCGGGACCGGCGCTGATGTCTGCTTACTGTAACGAGGGACAGACCCATCGGAATGACCTTTCTCTCCCGGTTCCTCTTTGTCTCCCTTCCTTTGTCCCTCTCCGTCTTACGTCCGGCCCAGTGCTCCTCCGGCGGGGTGCCGGGGAGTGCGAGACGGCTCGCCGCTGTCAGCTGATCGCTCGGTTACGAATCGCAGACTCTGGATCGGCTTCGTCGTACCATCCATCAAGATGAGCACTTGACATTTCAAAATAATCTGTCAAGGTTGCTTTCAAAATGGCATTAATAGGCCCAACGAAGTGTGATGAAGCTCATCCATCTATTCTGAGCGGGATACCGGCGAGTTTCTTTACTTTCCCGCCCTTGTTGTTCTCGCTGATGCTATTTAAACGTCCTCCCGTCGTGTTGAAGGACGTAATGCGGTCGGCTGAGCTCAAGGACTCCCTCACCAAATCCCAAAAAAAAAACAGCGTAATTTCGCACAGCAGATTAGTCCTGTGTTCCAACCCTCTTCTTGTAATAGATCTAATTTCACATATCACTTCTATTACAGCGAAAGTCATGTATCTCGCATCGATACTGCCAGCTTTGACATAATTGACATTTCGGCTGGTGTGACCTTCCTGAATGAAGGCGGCCCGGCGCTGTATGATCCAGACACTGTTAAGGCAGGAAGTTTAGTCTGTTCCAGCGCGGCTGCCTGTCAGCAGAGATTACTCGTAATGTGTGACTGTCGCGGTAGATTAGAGGCCACGCAGCTCTGGAGACTATCACTGTCAGTGTGAGAAGGTCACGCTCGGGCCTCTATCACTGTCTTACGTTGCGCCTCCGACTCCAACCACTTGTTTCTCTCCCGCGCCGTCCCTTTTCCCCCTCATGTCTCCTGCTCACTGCTCCGTCTTCTCCGTCTCCTTTTCTCTCTCTTTCTCTCTCGGTGTTGACTACTAGCTCACATGACGTTTCCCACTCGAGTCCCAGGAGGACGCCTACGGACTCGGTAGCATCGGTGTAGCAGCGCTCCTTCAAACCGAAGCATCGGAGGGCTCAAGTGATACATGATCAGCATTAGAGTGGAAAGACGAGGCCGTTGATTAAAGGCCTTTGTCGAGTGGCGCACTCAACCGGGACTCGTGCGGCCGCCGTAATTGTTTTCCTGGCTTGAATCTGGAGAGAAATGTCAAGTGTCCCGACGCTCCACATCATGTACACGAGTTGGGCCGCATCCCAGTAAGAAACGCACAGGTATGACTAGTCAAGTGAATTATGGGATGAATTCCATTTAGCTTCTCGGTTTTCAAGGTCCATCGATTGTTCACGCTGTCAGAGCTTTGACTTGATGTGATTTGAAGGAGGCCATTGTTCCTTTTACAACAATGGTCCTGCCTGTTGCCTCGACTCCTCCCTCCTCGTGTCTCCTCCTCGCCTCGTCTGCCTTGAGGACATAAGGAGAGGAGACGGAAGGAGTTGAGGATGTTCTAACTGGGAAATGCGAAAAGCCTCCAGGCCTTTATAGTATTATTATAGTATGCAGTGTGTGTGTGTGTGTGTGTGTACTGTGTGATCTACTGACTGCATTCGGCCAATCCTGTAGAACACCATTGATCCTGGAATGCCGATCGGCATGTTGACACAACCGAGCCACTGTTTGACCCCAGATGGTGGTTGTAAATAATGTTAATGTGCCGTGGGATACAGACGGCACGTCCCCTCACTCAGTGGAACATTTCTACCACATTATTCCTGGTTTCACGTCTTGTCAGGTCTACTCTGATGAAGATGAGGTTTCACAGCAAAGCGTTATAAAAGCATTCATTATGCTTATTAAAAGCAATTATATTTAATGACGGCTTCTTTCATTTTAATCTCTATTTTCAATGCACTTTGTGCATCTTGTCGCCGCGCATCACTGATTATCTTTTCTTCTGTTAGTCCCCTTATTGTTTTTTTCCTTTTCCCTCGACTATGTCTTCTTTTAGTGTCCTTTGTGCACCGATCATGTGTCCGTGTTGCACGTCTTTAAAAAGGTGAATTGATTACTGCTCTGATGTAATCCATACCCCCCCCCCCCGGCCAGTCTTAAGAGCACCAAGGGCCCCTTTTGTGAGGATCAATACACGACCCTACAAATATAATTTGGCCTGTGTTCTGAGTAGTCTACTCATCTAAAGGTCCCCTCCACCCTCAGCACCACCTCTCTCATCAGTGGAACTATAGAGGCTACCATGAGCGTGTTCCTAATGTATATATCGATTGATGGGCCAATGAAGGGGGCTGGTAGATTTGTGGACGGAGCCGTACGGCGCACACATCACAATAACACCTCCCGTAATAATAAAGTTATTTATTTGGATGGCTTCCATCGGTGTTGACTTTTCTCCCCATTTGCTTCTTCCTCGAGCTCCGGCAGAAGCAACGGCGTGGTGTGCGTCCTTCATCGGCGTCTGTGCGATGATGATTTCACGCAGTGGGACGAGGAGATGCGGAGAGAGGAGAGGCCATCGGATGTTACTTAATGTGCGCGTGGAGATCTGGAAATCAGACGCTCGTTGGCCATTTGTGTGTTCGCCGAAGGGATGTTAAATGAATCGTCCATCAATTCCTCACAGAGCCGACGCACAGCTCCAAAATCCACACTCGGGAACGCGCTTGCGATCACACTCGGACTCGGGCCGATGTCACGGGCACAGTTGCTACGGCGCAGCGGAGATTCATTTTGTCAACCTGAGAACATAAAAACCTTCGTCTCTCTCCTCTCTCTTTCTTCCCCCTTCATGGTGCTCTGTGACGCGTGAAGAAAACCGCTCACCGGCTCCTCTCTGTAGTGTGGCATGACGAGCTCCGGGTCTGTATCTTGTCATCGGAAAGATTATTATTAGACTTGAATTTAGCTGAACTATGACTCAAATCAAAATAGCTCAAGCTTCTTATTTTTTTAAAGCATTCGCGTGGATCCGGGACACTGGCTGTTTATCCTGCAGCAGTGGGTCTGCAGACTGTTCTGCAGCATTCCCAGTGACTCTCAGTCACGGCGTGTCAACCTGGCCCGCCGTGTGACGGAACACAGGGATACCGTTGGTCGCTGGTTGTTTTCCTCTGGCTGGAGCTGCCGCTCAGTTCATATTTGGTGGTGTCGTCGACGGCCTCGTGCTCATGCCTTGTATAAACAAAGACAGAAGAAGTGCCGTGGAACTTCTTCTGTAAACACCGGCAGTGGATCTCCAGTGCACACAGACCTACTTTATAAACACACACATCTCTGCAAGAAGGTGAAACTAATCTGTTCGGTACCCCCCCCCCCCCCCCCCCCAAAAAAAATCTTTGAGAGCAGGCCTCATTAGATGAAAAGAAACTTCAAAGCTACCTGCACCTATCAGATGCGCCTGTGTCCTTGTGTTGTTTTTATCTACAGACACCCCGCTGTTAGTGAGGAGCAGCAGCGACTCGGCCCTCAGCCCCCAGCCGAAAGAGGCCGGACCCCCCCTCGCTGAGGAGGCCGTCGGGACGGTAAGAGCCTGAGCCACGGAGGCTTCGCAAGTTCATACTTTTTACTTCTTTTGTTCCTCTCGAAGCCGCATGGCCTCGGTTTATGATGATCTCCCCGAGAGGGGGATTCTTGTGGGCCCTTTCTTTCTTGGGACCCCGTCCGGTGTTTGAGGCGCCGACTTGGGGCCGAATGAACAGAAGAATGGACACATTGCAATGAACCGTTCCCATTCTCCCCAGAGAAGACTTTCCCCAACAACAAGAGACTCAGCTGGTTGCTAGGCAGCGCGAAATCGGCAGACGTCATGTCATGTTTGTTTAGTAATGTATTAGTTTTACTTTCTGTGTAATGTTTATGCTTCTTTCATCAAGTCTTTCCTTTTCTTAAAGGCTCACAAGCTTTTATATGAGATATTGATTGAGCATTATGGGTTCTGGTGAACACTACTGTGCTATTGTAATCTAATAGGCAGATCGCCATGAAAACTGCTCGGCACATCAATACTCCCGAGGGGGTAAACACTTTGATTTGAATGACCCCATGACCTTTTCCTCTCGGAGGTTTCCCAGTGACGCTGAGAGCGTAGCGCGCTGGTGATACAGCCTTTCCTTCTTGATATTTACTAATGATAAAAGTATTTTTATGTACTGAGACAAAAATAAAAGAGGCCGCCCGACGTTTACTAAAGGTCATTTAAGAAAGGTCTTAAATTCTCATTTTTTGCCGGGCCATGTTCTTTACCGAGAAAAGCCGAGATTATTCACTGTACATCAATTGTACAGATTGGAATAGCTCCGGACACCAGGCCATGTATTTGCTTGTGGCTTGGTTTTACTCTTTTTCTATTACAGCCCATACACCCTTTACATAAAGTGTAAATACATGAATTTAATAATTAAATCAGATATAAGCACAAGTACTGATGAGCAGGTACAAAGTGACTTTTCCTGACATGTGGCGGCAGTGCGTTTCTGTGAGTTGATACATGTGTAAAAAGGTCGGGGGTGAGCGGTGCCTGTGGCGTCCTCGTGCTCCGTCCGATGTGGACATGCTTTGTCACGTCACGCCCCCCTAACAAAGACGGATGACTCTCTCTTCATCCTTCCTCCCTCTCTTCTTCAGACGGGTGGAGGCCACACATTTTCTCGTCACCTCTCCCCCTTATGCACGTCTCCTTTTCTTCTTCTTTCGACTTTTCACATCTTGGCCCAAAAATGACCCACATCAGTATTTCTGGTCCAGCTTCTAAACTTGCTTCGAAATCCCAACCAGGTGGCCTGATGTTTAACCTTTGACCCATGTTGTCCATTTTCTCTTAGCTGAAGGCAAGTCATCGTGAACTGGAGAAGCAGTTGCTTCTCTTCATGTCTGATCTGATTCTGCCCTTTGCCATCACATCCCTCCATGTGTGTTGGAGCGGCGTATCAGATGATCATCTGTCTGCTCTGTGAGAACAAAAACGGAGTCTTGCACACTGACTCACATTGCATACGCCGTGGTGTTGTTGTGATATCGTTAGTTTCTTTTCCCTGTGGCCGGTTGGACTCGACAAATCCCTCAAGTTCAGCGGTTAAAGGGACTCCTCGCCTGATTGGACTCTTGAGCCGTCCTCCCACGGGACTTCTCGCCGGACAAACATCCCTCTTTGACACCCCGTTAGAATAACCCGTTTGCAAGGTTCAGTCCTTCTGGGGGATGTGATTGGTTCTCGGAGGTGGCCCAGTCTTAACATGAGGCTGAACACGTGGGCGCCGTAGATAAGGCTGTTTATGGGGAAGGACAGAGAGGGGGAGTCCACCGGGTATTGATGGCTCTCTATTATTCAGCCTAACCACAACAACACCGGCAAGCGAGACGCAGTTCAGCAGGAACGAAGCCTGGAGGCACTCGTCACCGATGAATAACTATTTAGTTCAGCGGAGGAATGTAATTCGGGCCGGGGTTGGCCCACCTTTCCATTCCTTACATCTTTGCTCTGGTTTCTCCGCACGCCATCAATCCCGCGGCTGTCAATATGAAATATTGAGCGGGGGGTCAATTACACAGGAGGGCCGTGTGCATCTGGGTGCTTTCTATGCCGGTGTGCCTGCATGATAGCATGCTCGTATGTGAGCTGGGGACTCTCTTCATCATGCTTCATGCTGGTTCCTCACGTTCCCCGTCTCAGGTTACACACAGCGTCACAGCTGTGGCTCTATGACACCATCGGCCTCTTTTAGCAAGCTGCTGGTCGCCATGTCCTGCAATGTGTCCGACATTTAGATCGTTTAAATAATCTATTTTTTTCTGACAAATGATGGCTTTTCTTTAGTAAGTAGCCATTATTCTGTGTCAGGACTCATGTTGTTCCAACATCCGGCTCGCTGCGTGTTTCTCTTTTTACATTTCCCGCAGAAATTCGCTGTCACGTTGATAGTTGCATCGAGTGACTGTACAATATAAAGCGTGACATCACTTTATTAACACGTAGTTTGATTTAAGAAAAGAAAACAGGGTGTCCACCGTGTTCCTCCTCAGTGTTGAAGTGGTAAATGGTGCCTGGCTTCTCTCCTCTTCCTCACATGTTGCCGTCTCTATTGGGTCTCCGTCCCGGCGCCTCACTCTTTCGCTCCCTCACAGGACGTCTCCTGCCGACCAGCCTGCTTCGGATGGAGCTAATGGCTCCGGGTAATTGTTCAAATTGTCACTTGGCCTTTCGCTGAGAGCGATGAGGGGAAGAAAGTACTCTCCTTGCAGTAATTCTCCGTCTTTCTTCTCTCTCCGTCCCCTCTCCCACCCTCTGTCCTCCGTGCTTTATTTCATCTCAATCCGGCCAGATTTACTGGTGCAGCTCTTTCGTTCTAAATGCCAGGCACAAATGAGTACAGTGCGCCGCGGAATCGCTGCGGCTTCCCCTCTTTTCTTTCCACGCACACGCACAGACACACAACACGCCGGGCTGAGGGTTACCACTTCTTAATCAGGCTGGGAGTATTTGCTCCCGCGCAGAATGCTACAGGGACTAATAGGACAGCGGGGCACTCATTTATGGTGCTACACCTGGGTGTGTTTGCACATGCATGTTGGTCAGTGGAGCGTGTATGTAAGCGTGGTTTTTATGTCGGTGCTTTCCCCATGGCCCACAGTTTGTGTACATCTAGAGAAGGGAACTAATATTCATAGAGACGAACATTAAACAATGCTGGGGCCACTGCGCAGTTTACACTAACGGTTCCTCATTAGAACAGAAAGACAAAAAATGCAAAGCTTCAACATGACATTATGCCACATTGCCTCAGTTACGCTTAAACTGACCAAGGATTACCTACATATCCGTTTTAGCCATTGTTGTTCTAAACCCATACAGTGATTTATTTCCAGATTTATTCAATTGTAAAATGAGACTTTTTAATGTGTGTCTCTCTGCTTATTCAAACACACATTCAGTCCATCCGTTACTTCCCCAAAGATATAATACCGTAGGTTTATCATTGTCACACACACACACACACACACACACACACACACACACACACTTACACGCGTACCATATATACACGTAAGCACAAACCCCTCAGCTTGCATTACATGAATTGATCATACTTGCAGGGAACACTTTGCCTGATTGGTTATTCAGTAATTAGCAATATCACTAATAGTTCCCTCATTTTATCCACTTTCAGGCAATTATTAGATTGGACCAAGAATACTAATAGCTTGCGGCCCGTTTAATATAAGCGTAGTTATTCAAGGTAGGATTATCCATCATTGAGTTAAAATGGAAATTCTGCTTCTCAGTTCTGCAGTTTTTTGGACGGCCGCTAATGCTCTCGAGTATCGATCGAGCTGTCCAAGGTCGGCAGACTAATGTATTCATTGTTTTTCTATACATCTTTGTCATTTAATACATATATCTTTCAATAGGTCTTTCAATAGTTATTCCTATGCTTTTTTTTTTAATACTTCTTTTTTAAAGGACAATTTGTTGCACTTTACTTTCTGAAGCAGTATTATTAATGATCCATGTAGTGATCAAGTATATTCTAGTGTTTGTAATATTAGGGAAAATAGCTTTATGTATTTGAGCCACTGGATTAGATATATTTACATTGGCCGCATGTGGTATTGTTAAATGTGTTTATATTAATAGTTAGTTGTTAGCTGTTAGTTTTAAACCTAGTATGATTCATTAAGTTACTTGGAGAAAGTCCTGAGATGCTGTTTCTCCAATCAAAAATAGTACAGATATCTCTAATCTATAATATCGCAAAGTTAGCATGAGTAATGAGACTCATTAATTTGTTCTCGTTCATTTACTTGTTCTAAATTACCCTTTGATAAGTAGCCTACATTGTTGGCCTTTTTAATTAATATATTGCTCTCCAGCTAGAGAGAGACTATTGCAGTTATTAAACGAGACATACAATTAAGCACCAAAGGCTTTCCAATTACCTTCTGAGTGGCTATTGTTGTGACAAAGGGGTTAGGATAATTAATGTTACCTGTCATCCTCTTAGTTATTAGGCTCACATGACAGCATCTGCAGCTAGGCCCGACTAATTGATTTCCAAGCCCCGAACCCCAAACATATGGCTACAGTATCCGCCGTCTGTCACTCACTGCTGCTTCCCGCCTCACCTCCGTCCCGCTCTCCTCCCCAGCCTCTCCCCGCATTCCTCCTTTCACCTCCACAGCTGCTGCTCCTCCAAGGCTCCCGGACCTCTTCCGCCCGCCGACGTTTCCCTCTTTTCGGCGCTCATAACTCCTCCTCTCTTTGCTCGCCTCTTTGCTCCTCTCTCCCGTCCTCCGACAGGCTGTGGGGGTCACGCGGCAGTACGGCAGGAGGTCAGAGGTGGGAGGTCATGTTAAGAGTCCATTAGTGCCGACTGCTAACATTGAGCCTCATTGACCTGTGCGCGTCCGTCCGCGTGTGCACACACAGGCACACACGTGCACACACACGCACATACATGCACATACATACATGCAGACTAAACTTCGGAATTCCTTGCCAGGTATTTTGATGCTAAAATCAGGACACGATTCATGAATTTATACGCTGCAAATCAAGCTTTGGGCAATTTGTGCTTTACTTATATATGTGAAATAGTTTTTGATATAGAGATAAAATTAAATGAAATCAATCGTATGAAGTCAAGCAGAACCAGAACACGTCACAGCAAGAACAATGTTTTTTTAATTGGCTCGTTTGTTGCCATTTTTCTATTTTTTTTTACAGCAGTACGCACTCTTTCAAAAGTCATTCTACAGAAATATGGATGTGGAATGTTTATACACCAAAACAAAATGTTCTGTGATTATTAATCGCTCAATGCTAATGTGTCGCCAGCTATTCAAACTGATTTTTTTACATTAGAAGGTAGAAGAGGGAAAGAGAGAAATCTTTTTGATGTCCAATAGCTGGTGATTCTAGATTATTTATTATTCTCATCTTTTAATTCAACAAACCAATCTGCTCTTTTTGGCAAATCCTTTTTTTTAAATTCTGGAACATCACAAAGTCTTTGTGCAGCACTTTAAATGGAGCTCTCTGATTGGCTGCTCACTGATCTTATTTAATAGTTAACCTCAGTAACACATTTGAGGATTTAAACGGATAAACCCCCAATGATTTTATTTTTGAAATACAGCAGCTAGTAGTAAAGTAGTAAAGGCAGCTGGCCGAGAGGTGACAGAAGGACGTTGGGTCTCTACTGACCAGTGCAATCAATACTTCTCCTCCATGTGTTGTCTAAAAACTGAAACCCATTAGCCAAATGTCCAAACGTGCGTCGTGCCCCGGCGAGGCGTGATGTGTGACCGGTCCGTTGTGTCCCACCGCATTGAGCTCAGCACATGTTCTCGACACAGTGTTAACTGTAGCAGTGAATGCATCATTCCCAGAAGATGCTGTCGCACGTCGGGTTTTAGATGATTAATCATCCCTTTACCGCTGGGCATGCGACCTCGTCGCCGTGGAGATCACCTCACCGTGTCTTTAGCATCAACACACGTCATTCACACACACACACCTACACACCCGTCATGCAAGCCCTATGTCAGTGTATCAAGTAATTATTGCAGCTCCCTTGGCTCACATTTACACTTCTTTCTCACACCTCTCTCTCTCTCTCTCTCTCTTTCTCTCTCTCTGTCTCTCTCTTTTTCTTGGTTGCGTATGCCAAGTGACATTGTTATTTATCTCTGCTTGGCAACACTGTCTTATTACCTTCACATATTAATTGCTGTTTGTACATCATGCATCCATCAATCGCTTCACTCATCAATGTGTTCTTTCCCTCTGCGTCCTCCTGTCTCTCAAATCAGTCAAAAGACTGCGTTGGTTGAGGCGCATTTTAAAGGCAAAATGCTTCCTTGTGTCTCCCATTACTCACTTTATCTCCCATTTATCTTTTGTCCGGCCGTGAAGTCTTCTTTTGTGCGGATGGAATGTGCCGTCGGAGCTTGTTTTGCTCTTCTCGCCGCCTCTCACTGGCTAACGGGGGGATGTTCTGTGTGTTTTCTCTGCAGGCCGCCGTTCCTGCTGGGGAGAGGCAGGCGGGGGTTGACCGACCCCAAGGCCAACACACCTCCAACGGCAGGTCAGTGCGCACTAGGCTCATGCTATTAATGTTATGTAACGGTGAGAGTAACTTATTGAGTGTGCGTGCTTATTGATGTGTGTGTGTGTGTGTGTGTGTGTGTGTGTCCTACTTTCCCTTCATTAAAACAGTATCCTCATCCAGATCAAGGCCTTCTGCGGTTATAGTTAGTGTAAAGAAGCCCCATCATTAGCCCGCTACAAAAGACTGCAGAAACGGGGTCAGGGTCACACAAAAACAAACACACACACACACACACACACACACACTCTCACAAAGCACGTAGGCTTGTGTTGCCTGCCTTTCATACACACAGCTACAAACACACTTGCAACATTCTGAACACAGAACACACATGCATACGCTAATGAGGCCGGCTTAATGAAGTGGTACTGGTGTCTCCTTTGGGCCTGGTGAGCGTGTGTGTGTGTTTTCCAGGCTCACACAGCCCTACAGAGTGATGAGGGATGCTTACCATATCCATTGATATTCCTTCTTCATGTTAGCCCCGCCCCCTCGTGCCCCGCCAGCTCAAACCGCTTTCAACAATACGGATAACATGCAGATTTGTTTACAACATTTCTAATTGTGTGAGTTGTGTGTCTGCCGTTGTGCCGTCTCACAGGATGTGCACTGACACGTAAACACGCAGATTCTTCCATCAGTCCGGCAAAAGTGGAAATGCAATTTCTATTTCTCTCATTCACGTCTCGTTACTCAAAAGCTCTCTCTCCGACTGAAAAGAGTTGCCCTGTGACAAACACACAACCCCCGTGTCCACACAACCCAACCAAGGTCAGTCTGTGTCAGCATGACTAATGCCGCACCGAGGCAGCGAGCGGGTCACTTGTAAATCCGAGAGGCCGCTGCGTCACTGAGCAGCATGCGTCTGACGCCATTGACCTCCCTTAATGGAATGCGTGTTACTCTCTATTTCAAACAGGTGAGTCTGGGGATTTAATCCACAGTTAACTCATAAATACTAGAACAAAATAATATGTAGTTAACCTGTGGAGCGCAGCGAGAGAGAGACGTGTGTGGGGAGAATGATGTCTGACCTCAGCCGGGGTTTTTTTAGCCTCTCTCCATAGCAACCAGCTGCCCAGACAGAGATCAGATCACACACACACACACACACACACACACGCTAGTAGAGCTCATATTCATCGGACACTACAGGCGATGGTAGGCAGCCCGGTCCCCAGAATTCACAACAGGAAACCCAATTCTGAATAAAATCCCTTAATGTGAACACCGTTTTTTTGTGTTTAATGGAGTCACATGGTACGCGGCAGTTCAATGCAGTAGATGTAAAGATCATTACTTAAGATGCAAACGTTTGCTTCATTTCTCAAGAAGATATTTTATTTTTTTGCACACATCATCTCATGTTCACGCACTCGCGCGCGCGGACCGTCTCAGCTGTGAGTAATGTAAAAGTGATGTAATGGTTTTCGCCGGGAAACGATCCTTGAAATTGCAAAAATGTCCAAAATGAGAGGAGGAATGTGGCCATAAATATGGGAACAGCCAAACATACGTTAAATATGAAAGTGTGAGTGTGGAGCTACACCCATAAAACCAGTGGTGGCTCATGGTAATTTTACCCGCACAGCGCGGCCAATGGAAACTCATCACCAGTGTGCTTTTTATACACACAAAGAGATTTACTGTAAATTGGTTTATTGAAATAGCTTCGCATACTTTTTTGTGATGTGGGGATGTGTTTCAGAAGCTGGGGGGGGGGTAGATGAGGTAGTTTCACTGGATGCTGAAGAACAACGGGACGTGAAAGGGTTAACGGATTGTTAATGTAACGCGATTATTCCCCAACGGAACACAACACGTCAATTAAAATAATAAACCTACATGCGATGCTTATTGGATTCATTTGTGCTGATTCATTTTTCGTCATGAAGTTATTGTTGTTTATTCTGCGACGCGTTTTCCTACATTAACGCCTGAGCGGCGTTCGGGTTTCACTCCCGCCATCTTCGGCACTGTGCATTTTGGAGAGCAGCTCAGAGAGAGAGAGCGACATGACAAATAAGGAGAGGGTGGAGAGGGTGAAATGCAGTGAGAGGGGGAGAGTGGTTTGGTAATGCACTTCCTCCTTTTTCTCTGTTATTTCTGCTCTTTCATAGCGGGGATCAGTGAAGTGGCAGGTGGATAAAGAGAGCAGGTGCTCTCTTTATCCACCTGCTTCTTTCTCTCTCTCTCTCTCTCTCTCTCTCTCTCTCTCTCTCTCTCTCTCTGTGTGTCTCACCCGTTTTGTCTCTGTCTCACCTCCACTCCCCACTCTTTTTTTTGCAGAGCAGCAGTCTGTCATACATCTCAAACAAAAAGTAAAAAAGGAAACGCAAATGGATCTCAAGTGCTGTGTGTGTGTGTTTGTGTGTTAGAGATCAGAGGAACAACAACAGGAAAGGATAAAGGCTGGATGTTTTTCTTCCTCTCATATTAATGCTATTCATTAGCCGCGTCTCATTGATGCAGTGCCTCCTCCGTCCTTTGCTTCACTGTATCTTCCTTGCAGACCTCCTTCCTTCTAACCTCCTCTTCCCTTCTCTCCCATCGCCTCAGTCTTCTCCATCCACCCGCTTTCTCCTCATCTTTAGCATTTCAGCCTCCGAGTGTGTCTTTGATATCTACAAACTAGTGTGTGTGCGCCTTGCAAGCGACCACTACCACACATTCTTTCATCCCTTCCTCCGTTGGTCTTTCCTAATAACCTCCCTCTTCTTCTTCTCCCTCCACCCTTGCCTGCCGCTCATCCGTCTCTCCTCCTTCCTTCCGCTTCCTCCTTCCGCTTCTCGCAGTCTCTTTTGTCCAAATCAACTCAAATCTGCCGAGTGACGACAAGGCAGCAGCGGCTTTGAGTGTGTGAGAAGGATGGAGAGGGATAACTTGTTTTTTGCACTTTACATCCCCCCCCCCCCCTCTGGAGTTCCTCAGCAACCAACTGTACAGCTATCGGCTGAGAGAGAGCGAGAGAGAAAGAGAGAGAGCGAGAGAGAGCGCCAGCATGGAGAAGGTCAGGGGAGGATTAATGGCTGCGCTCTGATAGATAAACTAATCAAACAAACAAAGACTTCAACACACATTAAAACACAGACAGAATGTAAAGCAGACACACTGGAATATTCCAGACCCGACATGGAGGGGTTGAAAGAGAGGAAGAAGCCCGCGGAGCTGAGTGGCTGAACAAAGTTGTGACAAACTCGCACGGTCGCGCTCGCCGCTTCTGTTTACTCCGAAACAAGTATTTTTAGGGCAAGAAAATGCACCCATGGAAAGTGTTTTCAGAGCTCACCCCCCCGTCTGTGCTGCAGCCTCCACGTCGCCACGTCACGCTGGACGGCTCAACACTCATGTGCTTACGGGGAGGGTCGCGTTGTCACTGCGTGTCTTCCTGTTAAAGTTAAAGATCCGGCCCTGGCTGGGTCACCACGATGTAGAGAACAGACGTTCCTTTAGTCGCCCCATTGCACCTGTGTTGGATTGAAGTAAACTAATGTTACATCTCGGTTTTTTTCCCCCCACTGATGTCTGCTGTTTGTGTGTGTGTGTGTGTGTGTGTGTGTGTGTGTGTGTGTGTGTGTGTGTGTGTGTGTGTGTGTGTGTGCGGGTGTCTCTTCCAATTACACGCGCTTGTCCCTCTTGACACATTTCCCAAGCGTCACCCAAGCGTTATTCTTGCTACATGTATATGAGTATAGAGCTAAAACATCAATTAATCCGTAATGATTGGATAAACGTGATGTAAATGTCAGAGAAATCAACATCAAAGCATTATGAGCGTAATATCTGACTCAGGCATCATCCATCCATGGTATTGTTATTTAGTTTCCATTGAACTCTATATTCATCATTTCTGAAGGCTAAATATGAAAAATGTTAAAAAAATGTTAAAATAGTGGATGTTTGATCTCATTTGTCAGTCCCCTTTGGCCATCCACAGTGTTTCCCTGTATACACAAGTATCTGCAGAAGTGCCCGCTGGTGCACAAGCACCCTGGTTGGGAAT